TTAAGCATTAGCGCAACATAGATTTCAAGTAAATTGAAGCTGTGACGGAGTGTTGGGTCCTGCGAGCTCGGTGTTACAGTACAAGTAGGACTTCGGCTGGGGGGAGCAGGGCCGAAGGCCTGCCATTCGTGAGAACATTGCGCAGCTAGTATGACCTGACCGTGGTCTAAAAATGATTTACAGACTGAACCTGCTCGAGACCTTGAAAATGACACGTGTCAAGTCATTTCGCAGGATTCAGAATCTCACAGACCTCACTTTCATTGCCCGCACGTATCTTCATGCTATGCGCGCCAGGCGTGAAAGTATGCTCACGGTCGCAAAGCCAACTTTGCACATGCACGCGGACAGGGATGTCGGGCAAATAGAGAAGAAATATCAGATGAAACCTTATCGAATAACTTTTTGACTTCGAACGCTCAATTGCAGGTTTCATGGGCCAAAAACACCAAGACATCCCCCATTTTGCCGCGACGAAGCAACAATCGGCGTCATTTTTTTTTTGGCTTTGCCAATGGCTTCTGGTTGACCCGAAGGCGGACCGACCTCCTCAATCTCGGACAAAGTTCTATCAGCATTGACCCCGGAATTTTCTTCGTCCTCATCGTTGTCTTGCGAATCCACATGATGCGTCCGGGTTGTCATCGGACACGGGCTCCACAAAAGGCAGAGGCTGAGGCGGTTGCGCGGTGCTACGCCGAGGGCCGTCTTTATGAGAGGAACCCGTGCGAGTAAGAGGCTTAAAGCCGTGCGCCATTGATCCCGTTGCACTCTTAGAAGAATTGCGAAACAATTTTTTGCGTCTCAGCCGTTTGGCACTGTAAGCAAGTACCTCTGTGGGATCGGGGAGATCTGCAAGAGGATCGTGAGTAATGTTGCCGTGTCTGTCATATAGGCGCTGGTTTGGCAGGTTGGGGGGGATTACGGGCGGACGATCAGTGATGTTGCGCTTGTAGCGCGAGGCCTCCTCATCAAGTTCAGGAGTGGGAGGGTCATGCTTGCGCAAGGTATCTTTGAAGTGGGGCCTGTGACGGTTCTGAGGGGCAGCGTCCCGCGGGTACACCTGCAATGCCGATAGTATTAGAAGCGTTCCAGGCATTGGTTAGCCTGGATAATTCAAGGTCAGTACAACAGCATCGCTACCTCGAACAGATTGCCTGAAAAATACTTGAGTCATTTGTGGGCACCCTCACAACTACTGGAGACTGCCGTCTGCCTCCTCAGCCTCGTCAGCCCTGTGCGTCCGCATCGAATCTGCTGCGTCCTTTTCGCCTAGGCCAAGACCTTGGTGCAGCTCTCTGTCTTGACTGTTTTTTTTTTTATAACTGAGCGGTTTTTGTTTTATGTTGTTTTTTTTATTCGCAGCTTGTGTCGCAAAGTCTCAAACAGCAATGGAGCTGCGAAAACGTTGGAGATCAGAGCATGCTGCCTTTCGCTAAGATAACCATTGCAGTCCCTTACTTTCCTGCAAAGTCGAAATCGAGCGCCAGAAATTCAGACTCCAGCCTCACCTTACTGACAGATTGAATTCAAGCGCGAGACAATCTGACTGCATTGCTCCGGCTTCGTTTGATCCAGCTCAAATTTCACCGAACCATGCTTGAAGTTTTCTGAGACTGCGACACGAGCATTCTTCAAGGCGCGCTGTTTTTCTTTGTAGAGCTTGCTCGATTTTTTTTTTCTTTTTTTTCTTTTTCATATGCGTCTAGCTCTGGGCAAGAAAGATCTGTCAGGAGTTGCTTCTGTGCGACACACCATCCATTGTAGCAAAGAAAGCCTGAGTCTCTTTGACTCATGACTTGAGTAATAATATTTGGAACCCGCGTCTTCTTTATTCGGATGCATACGGCTCTAAGGGCCGCACGCTTCATTATTCCAAGTGGCCACGGCCCATACATGCGTTCGCTAAATTGGTAAAAGTTGAGTATTCATGGCGCTGTGAGAGGAACCGAAAGGGTAGCAGACAGAGCGCTGACTCAGGATAGCGGGGCTTGGACTACAAAACACCTTCACCGAATTGAACGATGCACTCAGCTGCCCCACGCGATGTTGAGCTTACGACGAGAGCCTTTCGATCGCTCTGGTCATGATGAAAAACCGCGTCTCTGGGCCAGTCGCGTCTCTTGCCCGGCTAACCTGCTAGCCTCGAAAATTCTTGTATCTTAGTTGCACCTTAGTCACGAGCCCAACCGTGCACTTTGGTTCACTTCCCACCTTAGCATCGCAGGCCGCTTGCTCAATACGAGCTCGGACATCTCGCGCAGTCTCTCCTTTTAAAGTTGTACAATTTGGCATGGCGTCAAATTGATGCCTGCCCTGGCGGATTTAAGAATTGCGCCCATAGAGCTGTGCCGACGAACAAGCCCTCTCAGTCGCTGCCAATTGAGACAATACGCTGCAGTCAAGCGCGATCGGCACGAGCGCCGGGAAACGGACTTTATGCAGAGGCTTTTGCCACCAAAAGGTACACGAACCGGAGCTTGAGTGGCGAAGTCTGTCACACCGGGCTGTTGGCCCAAGGTCTGTAAAGCAATCGCCAACTATTAAACGAGAGGTCCTTTCCGCTTCGTTTCTTGTCCCTTCGGCATTTATTCGCACGACTCTCCATCTGTTGACTTGAGATGACATCTTGCAGGCAGACGATGCATGCTGCTTGTATGGCTCATCGCGTCTTCGTTTCTCTGTGCATTGCAGTGCTTCTGATGAGCGGGGTGCTCAGTGCTAACCAGCAATCCCTGGCGTCTCTCGCTTTTTTGCGCGCGAGGCGAAGCTTCGAGGAAGGTATCATTGAGGAAGCTGTACGAGTTTTGCTTGCTTACGGCCAGGATGCCGCTAGACAAGAGACCTTCGCTGCGTCGACTCGCGTGCCGGCACATGCGCAAGAAGCAGAAGTCTTGAGCAGACAGATGGGGGCCATGGCTATTGAGAGCGGTCCAACCACCCACCCCGAGCAGACACGTGAGGCACAAAGTATGCGGTATCACTCGAAGGAAAGCAAGCACAACTATGACGAGCGTCTGCAGTCCGCTCGAAGCAACCTCTTGTTGAATGGTCCAGGAACGCTGAGGAGACAACGAGGGGCGACCAGCATCGGAAAATTAGCTGAGTACACTCATCAATTGGCCAAAGCACAGAAGGCCGGGCACGAAAAGAGACTGGCAAGGGTAAATGGGCACGCCCGGCGTCGCTTTGAGAAGGCTGTTCTTCGCACAAGTTCAGCTCAATCTCAGAAGTTGCGACAGTCACGTTCAGACAAAGAAGCGGTTTTGGCAAAAGCGCACTCCGGTGAGATCGGCAAGATGCGGTGGAGGTCGTTGATACATCGCCTTCAACTTCAACGGCAAACAAAGACGAACAGTCCTGAAGGCAAGCACCCGTACAGAGTCGACGTTGTGGGACAACAAAAGGCGTCACCGCATAGCGGCGTGGTGCATACGACGCGAGGTCCGCTCGACGTCGAGCCCATGGATGCCGACTCTAAAGGGTCGTCGGACGAAGACGACCTCGGGCTTGGTGGACTTCGCCTGCAGCGCTGACAGAAGGAAGCATGAAACACACGTGGATCTGGCAAGTTGAGCGCATTCAGCGGGGTCTGAGCTCAACACTCTGTGGCATAAAGGCAGTCGATCATCGTGAGAACAAGCTTCGACCATTTGGAAAAGGCGCACGAGGCAGTCTTGAGTTACAAACGGCTCATTCTGGTACTCAGATTCCCAGGAAATAGGACGCCCACATCTAGCACAAAGCCATCAGAGACCTGTCTGGCCTTTTCGAAGATTTTGCGACACACCGAAGACAGGAACAATGGCAGCGCGGTCACATGCCACAGCAAAGCTGTCGCATAACCGAGAATGTTACACGGAATTTGTCTCTGTTGAGAAAGTATGCGTAGCCGAAATACACCCACCCGAGTGCAGCCAGCAGCCAGTGGAATGACGACGTGGCGTGTATACCTCTGCAGAAGAAGCGGCAGCAACGCTGCTAGTCTTCGGTCTACGAGTGTCATCGGTCGCTGTCAGTAGAATATGCGCTCGTTCAGGAATCAAGCATTGTCAACGCAGCGGCCTTCGAGAGAACCCACCCCAGAAGAGGACAGCTACCGAAACTTCTATCCGAACAATCTCATTGTATTGGTGGTGCTGCTAAGCGTGTGAAAGGGCTATGTATAGGAGCTCTACTTTGAGTTGCTGCTTGTGGATGGTTGCGGGTCGATTGGGACCTGCGAGCGCCATCGATCGATTGAGGTTGCTTTGGGGTCCGGTCCAAGTCCTACGCCCGGTGGCAGTGTAGTCGGATCCATGCCCATGGGCATCCCAATGTTGTTAGGTCCAGGAGAGTGCGGGAACATCCCACCTCCAAAAGATGTGCTTGGACCAAAGCTAGGCATGCCACTCATGCTCATGTGACCTGGCGCGATACTAGGCTGCCCGAAAGGTGCTGCCCCAGGCATCATTGACATGCGCGAATCGAATCCATATGGAGCACCGACTCCAAAAGGACTTTCTGTAGCTGCAATCTTGGCTCTCGCTTCCGCAGCTTCTGCCTGCAGCTTCTCAATCAGGGCTCGCTGCTCTGCTATGATGGCCGCCTGGGGATGCGCAACGCCCAGAGGGCGATCATCGTCATCGCTGTCATTGATTTGGGCAGCAGCTGCCCCTTGAAGGTCCGCCACCTTCTCTCGAGCTTGTTTGACCTGCGCTTCTTTCTTGGTCAACTCGGCGAGCGCAGCTAGCCCATTGCCATGCTTGACACCCAAAGGAGCATCGTCGTCTGAGTCATCGTCTTCGTGCTGCGATGTTTGTGGTGCTGCCCGTTGTAGAGGAGGGAGACCTGTAGTCGGCCCGAGAGCACTGCTTCTGGAGGAGGCGGGAGGCATGCTACTCCTTGCTATCGCGGTTGTGTCAAGGGAACTGGTCCCCATAAAGTCGATGTCAAGCTTTCCGGCCAAGCTCTGGCGCGTCTTGCGTTTCGCAACGATAGCCGCCAAAGGCATCTCTTCCTCCGATGACTCGTCATCCGCACCGATACGAGGGGGATTGCCAGCAACGTTGCGGAATGATGTACTGGATCCAACGCGAGGGGGAGCTTTCTTGCGCAATTGAGATAGAGGGACATTGTCTTCGCTGCTGCTATCGTCTTCAGTAGCCTCACTATCACTCCCATTCTCATCTTGAACCCTGACCCTCGGCAAATTGAGTGCTGCGGCAAAACTCACACTTGCGCTGTTCTGCGTATGGGCTTTGCGCGCTCTTTCAAGAGCTTGTTTCCGCTTCTCCGCCTCATCCTCGGAAGTGTCCTGCTCTGACAAATCCTCGTCGGATTCGCGAGCGAACCATTCCGCAGCAGCTTCTGATACACCTTTGCGCTTAGTTTGTGCGGCAAGAGACGAGGTTCCTCCGGCAGGATTCTCGCTGAGCAAAGACAGATCCAATTTTGGCGGCTCGATAGGGGTACGGCTACGGGTAGGCATTTCATCTTCTTCAGTCTGAGCAATTCCCTCGTCTTGCTCATCCTCCACAGTCGGAGCAATGGAAACACTCTCGGAGTTGCGTGAGACAAAGCTAGCCTCTCGTCCATTGATCTCCTTGTGCAATCTGGCAAATTCGAGTGCTGCAGCTTCATACTTGGCTTGATTCTTCTTTCCCTTCTTGCCTTTGAGCTTGTGCATTGCCCGTTCCGCCTCCCCTTTGCGGTACTCGAGTTCGGCAAGTCTCTTGATTTCACGCTCTGCAGCCTCTCGAGCTTCTTCTTCTCGGCGGACTGCCATCTCGCGCTCCCAAAGGGCGTCTTTACCAAACGCTGCCTGCATGCGTTCTCGCGTGTCGTTGTAGCCCAACGGGTTGTCTCGGAAGGTCTTTGCAGCGGTGCTGGGCGCGATTGAACGAGCGTCTCCATCGGCATCCATCCCAGTTGCTTCCAACGCCTCAAACCTGCGGCTCTCTTCGGCTTCGATATGACCATAAGCACTGCAGCCAGAGATACCGCACTGTCAGCATTTGCTCAGATGCCCCTAATCCTGGACTAAGGCTCACCGATTTTTCGACACGAGGTTCTGTCGGCGCTCGTCGGCAACATCAAGCAGACTCTTGCCGAACAATTTGCCGGCTGGTTTCTTGTCGTCGACCCAACGCTTCTCATCCTCAGAATTGAGGCTGTCTTCGCTTGCAGATTCCTCGTCTTCAGCAAGGTCATCCTCCGGTTCTGAATCTTCGGACAGATCAAGATCTTCGGCGGGGCTGTCACTTTCGACGCCGAGAGCCTCGTATGAAGTGCCACTGGTTTCGGCGATTCTTCGTTTGCGTCTCCGCTCTGCTCTGGCTTTTTTGCGCTTCCGACGTTCCTTCTCTGTCTTGCGAGCTGCTCGCTTGGCTGCGCGTGTGAGCTTTTTGAGGTCTGCAAGAGGAACATTTCCGTCCTCAGAAGAGCTAGCATTGCCCACTTCGCCAGTCTGCGTGCCAGCTTCCCAACCCCAACCAGTACGCTCATCCTCGTGTTGAACTAGCTGGTTGCGGAATAGAGCGGTCGAAGGCGCAGCCGCTCGGCGTCCAATACCGGCAGGTGCGGCTGCGGGCACATTGATGGTCCGACGGCTGTCGGCGAGCAGGGCTGCCATGACGGTATTGTGCTTCTGATTTCCATCGCCCTCCATGAACGCCAGTTTTGGCGCTCCGCTTGCTCCAATTGTCAGCTGCTTCACAGGTGGCAGACCTCTGCCGTCGTGCAGCACGAAGCCTTCAGGTACGTACAGGCCCGTCTTTTTGCCACTTCTTTGAGCGAGACTTGCCCGCAGCTCGCGGATGTCGCGGCCGTGCGCATCTGTGAGCCTGATTCTTGGTGCATAAGGACTGCCCTCGAGGGGCGTGGGCATGACAAGATCGCTTGGGGTACGAGCCTCGAGGCCGCGAGGTCTCAGAGGACCCTTGGCAGGAGGGCTGAACTCGCTATCATCCACCTCCGTTACGAGTGCTGCAGCTTGCTGGTGGCGCTGCTGCTCATCGGCCGCTTTCTGCAGCTTCTCGATGAGAGCGTTGCTGCCCGAACCCATTAGAGTGCTGATGGGATTGAACAGGCTTCTAGAGTTGCCCCTGGCAGCTTTCCCAGCGGCCGACGAAGGGTCCTCCTTTGCGGGCTCTGCGTAATCCGTGGAGGGCGGTTCGACTGGGGCGGCAGGCGCAGCTGTACGCCTTTTAGTACCCCACCGGACAGACGAAAGATCCGGCACAGCCGAGGCGCGCAGGGCCGCAGCGGTTGCAAGAATGGAAGGTCCTGCGTTGCTTGTGCGCTTGTCGTTCGTTGACGATGCTCCGAAAAAGCTTGAAAACGGTCGAGATTTGGGATTAGGGACATCGTTAGATGCTGAGGCTTCCCGGCGGTCATGTTCGGCTAAATGCTCGGCCAAAGCTGCATACTCCTGGCTCGCCTCTCCGACTTCTGCACCCAACAAGCGTGGCTCTGCAATGGCACTGAGTGGATTCAAGCCAGCAGCGCTGAGGAGCTCCGCGTCATCAGCGGCCTGGAGTGGTGGGCTATCTCCTGGCGATCCAATGCCGTAGTACCCGCTAAACGCTGATTGGCGGGCCATTTGTTGTAGCTGCTTTGTCGACATGTTGGTCGTGGCTGCTGACCTTCTGGGCGCTCTAGAAGTAGGGGCCAGAGACTCTGGCGTCGATTGACCGATACCTCGAGGGTAGGGTCCCAACCTTTCCGCGACAGCATAGGGGTCGCTACCAAGCTCCAAGAGCCGCGCAGCAGGCGACGCCCTATGTGCAGCAGGATACGGGCTAGGGCCTATGGACATGCTGGCATAGGGGTCGAGGGGAAGCGAAGCGCCTTCACCAAGGATGGGCGTGGCTTGTCCTGAGCCTCGGCCACTGCCAAGTCCGCCAGGAGTGCCTGGACGACTTGAATGCAGCACTTCGCCTGGCCGCAGAGAAGGCGCCTCATTCGCAGTGTCTGCCCACAGCATACCAGGTGCGCCAGTCATGAGAGAGTTGCGCCTCGACTGACCTCGAGAGAAGGACCCGACCCCCGCCATGTCACTTTGCACAGATTCTTCGATCGAGTCGACCACCACACTGGGTTCCATGAAGGGCCCCTGTAGGTTGAGAACTTCTGCGGCGCCCTCTGCTCGTGCGCCTTGATTGACGTGGTCTCTACGAACCGTAGTGTCGCCTTGAGAAGCAGATCGCGTAATGGTCTGATCTTGGAGCTCGGTGCTACGCACCTCATCCTCATCCTCCTGATCTGACCAGCTCTCACCAAAGATTCCCATGGAGCTATCTCGACGCTGTAAGCTCATCGCCGAGGCTACAGTGTTGGTACTCTCGACGGTGGCGCTGCGAAGATGCGTGACGGGTCTGATGTCTGCTGATAGTAGGGACTCGTCTGCCGCCGCAGAAGTGCTTGTGCCTGCCCCGTCTAGCCCGATCAAGCCAGCACCGCCAGCAGAAGCATCCCGGCTCAAAGCGTCGAGGCCTCCGGTGCTGCTGAAACGCGGTGGGGGAACTCCAAAGATGGACGCCACAACGTTCTGAATCGGGCTGCGCTGGGCTTTCCCAACGTCGTGGGTCTCCCCACCTGCAGATGGAAACGCTGAGCTGCGCTTGCTCGCTGCCAGGGCTGCCGCGCTGCTGTCCGATTGCGCAGCCGCAGAAGCTGCTGTTGAGTATGCATCAATGGCGAGATGCTTGGCAACCTCGGTGGCATCGGCAGCAGGTCCCGGGCCGGACCATTCGCTAGGGGGCAGGTTCTCCTGCCTTTCTCGATACATCTTGATTCGTGCTAGAAGTTGCGCTTGAGCCGCAGAAACCGACCCGTCTGGCCCATTTGGAATACCTGTAGCTCCAGTACCTACCTCGGAATGCGTGCGAATCATGCTCTGTGGACGCGCGGGAGCGCTCACACTGATAACCGATGCAGGTCTTGAAGCGGAAGCGGGGACAGTGGTGATGCCGACGGTGCTGTTGGCGCGACTCCTGCGACCCGCATTGAGCTTCTCTCTAGCATCTTTGGATAGGAACTTGTCCACTCCCCATTCACTGAGCGCCTCTTCCGATCCCGCCTCGCTTTCAGCCTCTTCAGAAGCAGCCGCAGCTGCCATGGTGTGTAGCGAGCCATGCCTCGAGTGCGACAGAGCGCTACCGGGCCTACTGCCATCGCCCATTGGACCACCCCATACGGTCTCGCCTGGACGCAAAGGGCCAGTGGCGCTCATCAGGCTATTTGCTCGAGAGTGACGGGAGAAGCCGGCTGCGCTTGCTGGTCGACTGCCCATGGACGACGTGCGGGCATTCTTCTTGTCCGTCGGCAGCTTGACGCCCAAAAAGTCGATGCTCGGTCTGCGCCCCTCTTCATTGGCGGTCATGCCGCCACTGAGTCGACTGAGCCTGCTGGCATTGCTGACCGTTCTTTGACGTGTGTGCGCTGATGCAGCCGAATGCTGCGGCTCATCTCTAAAAGGCGCAAAGATGACGCTCTGACTGGCCAGCTTTGGTTGTGGAAGGGGAGCAGGACCTGGTGTGTCGGGGTCAGCTTGCTGCTGCTGCTGTTGCCTGGCGCGCAGCAGCGACGCTTGGTGTGCAAGATTGCGCTCCTCGATGTCATCATTGTCAGCTTCGATGAGTGCGGCTGCGAGTTGCAAGCGCTTGTTGATGCGCTTGGATATCTTGGGCGGCGGCTGCTGCCTGTCGCTGCGATGCTGGTGGAGCTGCTGCTGGTAGGACTGGTCGGACTGAAAGATGGAAGGGTTGGGATGATGGTCGAGTGGCATGTGCACTTGCATGCGTGACAAGCTGGAGCGAGATGGACCAGCTTGTGCGTAGGCAGCTGCAGCTTGGAAGTCGTTGCCGTCGGTGGACAGGATGGATGGCAGTGAGGATATCATCTTGGGGGCCGGACTCACACTGGCGATTGCCAAACGTGAAAGCCAGTCACGCAAGCATGGAGAGAGGTGATGTGTGATTGTCTGCTAGAGTTAGGAATGAGGCGAGGGGATCGGATGTGTAGGTGTGTATGCGTGCGTGTGGGTGTGTGACAATCATCCATCCAACCATCATCCTTGCTTGCTTGCTTGCTTGCTTGCTTGCTTGCTTGCTTGCTTGC